ATCTCACGGTCGGCGCGAACCGGCCAGTAAAAGGGTTTTCCGGGCATAAGCACAACTCCGAATCCTGGAAACTACCCTACCTCTACCTACGTTCGAGTCCGCAGATGTCTGCGGAGATCCCGGCGACGTGTAACTACGTATGTAGAGTAACGTGCTCGCCACCGTGCTCAGTAATATCCGTGGTTGGTCATAAAGGGAGTTCGTAAACGGCTAGTACGGCTTTTCTCCTACTGTATTTTCTGCTTCCAACCCCCCTATCCTCCCCTTCTGTCGCTCACGCCCCCAACGACCGTCTGGGAACGTGCGACCGTGGAAAACGACGCGAAACAGAGAATGAATGTAGACTTTCGACCGTAGTCTCAGTACTAGAGCTACGTGCCAATGGAGTGGCGCAAGGTTTCGCTGGAAAGCTGGTTCTGTAACGCTGGTTTAATTCGACGAGGTTCTCGGTTCGGCAACATCTAGGTAGGCACTCGATTGTTTGGTCCGCTACTCTGCTTTGGGATTATGTTTCTGTCGAGTAACTACCGTTCACATACCAAAGGGGCCAGGGGGATACTTGGTTGCAAGCGTGATGGACGTGCCATTCAAGGGTTTTGTAATCGTGGCTTTTTTTATCCATCGTGAAATTGGACGTACTCCAATGTACCGTTGTTCTGAGTTAACACTGCTGCTGCTCGACGGTGTTAGATGATTGGTAACGTTCCCTCATTTTTGGGAAAAGTATGCGATTCCTATTGCACTCGAGGGAAATTAATGGCTTGATCATGATTTCTGATCCGTGGTGAAAATGACATTTTCAACGGTGAATCAACTTAAATTTTTATTACGTTGCTGGAACAATGAGAGTGTTGGTTTCGTGTTTTCTAGCAATTGCATCGGAGATAAATAGGAAGGAAGCTTGTCACACCGGAATGGGGAATTTTTTTTTTTATTAATGCAGTTTTAAACTTCGTGTGGAGATGATTCTTGTAAAACGTGTACATTTATTGCAAACTTGTTGATATGTTTATTCATCAATACAATACTTCCTGAAATTTTCTATTGCATTCGTTGAAATACGTATGTACTAAATAGCATATTGCTACTGAGGGTTTGTAGAGTATCACATTATACGATAATGGTAGAGAAAAACCACGAGTTCGTGGTCAATCATCAATTAGTTTCGCTCTTCGTTTGTCGAATAAAGGACATTGCCGCAGTACATGATCAGTCTCTTGTTCCACGGAACTGCAAGTACAGCTTGGATCATTTATCAGATCTACTTTGGCAAGTGAAAACGCTAGATAATAGAACAGGGAATTTAGTCGTTATTCTGGTCAAGCATTTTTTTATGTAGGTACCTTTGCACTTTACGGTAAAAAAGTTTACGCTGAAACAGGACAATATTCCTTGTTCGAATGAATAATAAGCGTTCTACATATTATTTGTAATTATCATCCATTCCCTGGACGAAATACCATCTCTCCCAGAACACATACAAACTTTCCTGAGTCGATACTTTGAACCGCGAAAGTTCCCCTTTCCCTGCATCGGGTTGCATTTCACGACGATAAATTATTCATCGGCTCGGTGCACGTTAATTACGGTATTCCGTTTTCTATATTGCAAAATCCAACCGGTGGTGTACCCGGTGTCAAACTCATCCAGCCCGCCTCAGGAAGTGTGAATAACTTCGTTCCGCGGGGTGTAGACCGTCAGCTCGATGCGTCGCTGTGTGGCGAGGATAATTTACGACGAGTTTGAGAGCGACTCGCGAAGAAGCTTGTCAGGAGATCACGGTTAATAACGACTCCGCAGGATACCGGGATGAGGGCGTTACCCCACGTAATTTAATGTGGAAATTGGGAGGAAGGGGGCTGGGGGGAAGTCTGATTTCCTGTGCGTTTCCCGTGTGTCTTTGCGGATTTCCGGGTAGTGTAGCATCCGCGTAATTAGCTTTTCTGTCGTCGTCTTTCTTGGGGGAGGTGTGTGTGTATGCGCGTGTGTGTGGCAAGCCGGTTAAAGATTCGAAGGGTCCTGTAATTGACACGCAAAATTGTCTCACGTGTATTTAGTCTGCACCCTGGTTTATTTACTCCGGAACTTTCGAGCGTTCACCGGATAGTCACTCCTGACCTTTCACGTCGAATGCAAATTCTTTGGAGTACGGCAAACACGGAGGAGTAAAAGCTTGCGACGTCTCGAAGTCTTAGTGGGTATTTTGTTTAAAATTGTTAATGGTATGGCCAGAGTTAGTGTTATTAATTTAGAAAAACAGAGAAATAGACTAAATTTTGATTAGGTACAGAATAATATGAAAGACGTGGATATCGAATTGAATCAATGTACCTTCTATATTTATACGAAATTATTGATACCTTCTTGTTAGTTCTACGAAAGTATCAGTGACGATTTGATGATTCTATGAAAGTATCAATACACGTTTCATAATTCACGAATATATATTGTTTGAATTTCATCAGTATCCATTGTAATCAGTCCCACCCACTGGTCGAAGTGAATTCCACGGAAGATATTGTGCATTTGGCAAGTAGAACAGCAGCCAGGTTGAGCGATACCAACAGAGGGATGTTTAACGACGAGAAAACGGCGTGAAACGGTCGCGTCATTGGTTTTCTTATTAGCTCGTGAAATCCCGGCTAGGGAATTACATTTTATTAGAGGTCGGTCATGGGGAACGGGAAGTACCATCAAATTGTAACTACCCGCTGTAAAATACGGAGTTTCAACCCGTAAAGCCCGGATTACGATACGCTGGTAATTAGCTATTTTCATTGCGGACTCTATCCGCCGTTATCCAGGAACGACTATAAAAATGAACGCGAACCAGCCTCCCCATCGGAGACCAAGCATTTAGGGCCGAGATTCTCGCATAAGATTATACACGATTCCGCGTAGTTACGCTCGTTACATCTGGGTAGGTATCGTATACGTGAAGGGCAGCAGCTTCTTGCAGCAACGAGACGAAGAAGGAAAATTCTTAGCGAAACTCTTTATGTCCGTTCGTATTTTAGAGTTACAATTGGAATAATTGAATTATACACGAGTCAAAGCGTCATGTACAGAGTGTTAATAAAAATGTGGGAAACTTTCACACAGGGTGGATTCTATAGGCCAAAATATAAAATCAAAAATGAAGAATCACGAGATTGCATTCGAGGATTTGTTTCCGAGTTATTAATTGTTAACCCGCTCATTGGATCTTTTTTAGTATCTTGTACATTTTTTTTTCTTCATAAAATCAAGAACCAATAGGCATTTTAAGACTCTTAAACAATTTTTAAAAATATTTCTTTTTATAAACAGCGTGCTCAGGATAAGTAATAATCAATTTTCGAAATTCATCTAATACGTGTTTATTCGCGGTAAGAATAAATAGAAACAGAATGTAGTGAACACACCCGTTAACCAAGTCCTATTCAGTTGCACGCGTATCGAGCAGATTTTCAAATTCGATTGTCTCTCGAAAATGAAACATCGTACGAAGAAATTGTGTCCTACAGTTTCGGTTTATTTTTGCATGTAAAATCATAACCATTCGGGTTGTACCACTAGTTTAGAAACAACCTGTATATACGCTACAACTTTAATATTAAATATCTCGTAAACGAATGGCTGTACGGAGCTGAAACAAATATCATTGGCTTCGGAATTCCAAGCTCTATCACTGTGCTGAACCTCATTAAAAAGCCAACGTTACACCTGGAGACATTTCCTTGTTAGTCGAATGTAATGAAATAAAATGAAATGAAATGAAATGAAATGAAATGACATGAAATGAAATGACATGAAATGAAATGAAATGAATGAAACCAACTCGTGAAACAGTTGAAGAACGCAACCCTCAAGTAGAATAACACCCTTACGTCAGACATTTTTGACGCATATTTTTGGACCAAGTCTCGAACGCAATTTCGTAATTTTTTTTATTTTGATCTTAGTTTTGCACGTAGAATCCACTTTGTGAAAGTGTCCCACGTTTTTATTAACACCCTGTATCGGGCACGCGATAAATCGCAATTCAAGAACGGAAGTGATTATTCGTAAGCCGACTGCAGTTTTTACTTATGGTATTCGTGAATACACAGAACAATAAAATAAGAATCTGTACGAATGTTTTATTTCTTCTTAGCAGTTCGAATTTCCAAATAAAACGCAATTTTCATTTATTTCCCTGTTTTTTCAGTACGAAAGTGAATAAACGTGCTCAATTTTTTCCTGGTTCCAACATTTCCAGGCGCTCTAACTTCTCGTTTTACAGAGAAATAACAAAATTCCGTGTAACAACTGTCCGACTCACGTTCATACAACACGTATTACGAATGACCAAGACCTGGGTATATACCCAACACGGAAGTATTCTACATCGATCATAAACTTTGCCATTAGTAATCTGTAATAACTCAACGACCTTGACTATTTATATCTCATAATTCTCTCGGTTTCTCTGTGAAAGTATAAAGATCAATATCTCAAGGTATCGTTTAATCGGTGACCCTTGCACGATATCTACAAAATCGACTATTTATCCAGTTACGAACCGAACAATCAACAAAACCAGTGACTTTCAATCGGTGTGCCGCGATAAATTTTTTAAGTATAATTAAATTAATTTCGAAAGAAGTCTAAAGCACAATAAGTGTACATATTAAAATTAAAACCTCTTCAAATTGAATATACGTGGTACATCATTGTTGCAAGTTTAACTATAGGTTCAAGTGTGCCGTGAGATGAAAGAGGTTGAAAAACACTGAACGAAACGAAGGCTGTGGTACAGTATGATCCATACTATATCAAAAAGCAAAATATCGAAGGGCCGAATATCAGTCTGACAAAACATTCCTGTACTCCCGCCTTAATCCCCGTCACCGTTTTCACCGGAGATCTTACGCAACAGCTCTTGACAAGCCGCGAAAAAGAAAAAAAAAATTCATCCGTGCGCCCTCTGTACGTACACAAAAAAAGTATTCGGCATGACTCGGGCGCTGTGTGACGCTCGTCCTTCATGCGAAAAACGTGCCGTGCTTGGCAACGACGTCGTTATCGCCAAGAAACACCGAGAGATAAACACAGAGAGACCGCCGGGGATAGAAGAGACGATGAATGCCGGTAGTACCATCGTGACCGTTCGTTCGTAAACACTTGTCGCGTGTTCGACGTACCGAGATAAGGGAACAAAACGTCTCTTTCGTACCGCTCCACTTTCAAATCCCCATTTCGGGATTTCCAAACGTTCGGAAATCGTTGTGCGCGACGGCAGCGAGAGACAGTGCAAGTGAAAACCTCGTCCAGATCGGTCTCTGTCTTTATACACAACCGTTATTTTCCATCGTGCTGGCCCCCCATCGCAGAGCATCATGACCACGGAACACGAGAACGACACCAGGGTGAGGTTAAGGAGGACCAAGAGCGTCACTAGAGCCGAGGAGATCCAGAATGCTGAGATGAGGGTGCGCAAATCACAGCCGGACAGACCGTGAGTAATACTCTATATACTGGCCGTGTGTTACACGAACTTCTTTTCGACACGTATCGATTTCCTGTCACCGACGAATTGTCCATGGAACTGTTCAGACGTGATTCGAATGTTCCGTCAGAGGTATTAATTCTTTACGGAGATACAGTTGCTTAAGTTTATGTTATTCGGCGAGCACACGAGACGCGTAGACACGAAATTGTCAGGTGCCCAAACGACAGACGACCAAAGAGGTAAGAACCGTGAAGATGTTTTCTCGGAGCGCGCATGCGCAATTGGCCGCAGATCGAGCGCGACTCTGCGTGGGGAGATCCCCTCTACTCGGCTTGCGGGCGATACCATTGCTCTCCTCTTCGTTCAACTAACGCTCATCCGGCGCCGTTCTAGTCCACGTGTCATAATCGATGCCGGAGGTCAGACAGTAGGGAGTACACTCGTGTTTTCCACAGCTGTCTGCTTCACAAGACCGGATCGAGAACCATCGACTTTATCCAGCGGAGTTAACGAACCGACCATGCAGACGAGCTGTCCCCGTTTGGTTGGGACAGGACCGGAAAGATCTGACCGACTGCCTTAATTGGGTGTCGTGGAAGTGATACGGTTTGGTTAGGGTCGACCTAGTTTTCTTATTTCGTGTCTGGGATACACGTATGGAATGCATAGGTTGCTGTGCCCTTTGAATATCATAAAGTAACAGGCTATGGCAAACGTTGATAGGAAAAACGTCACGTAAATGTTGGTCCTCTCCGGGGATATGAGGTTAGGGGACGGTGTCTGTGATAGGGATGGTCAGTTACGTTTCGATTCTTCTGAAGATCGATTCCCTTGAGTAACACGTCACTGCCATGTATAACACATATACTATTACCGATCAAAAGTATGGAACCAGAGTTCCGTGATTGATGGTACAGTTATGATAAAACAAAAGTTTTACGGAATCAGTACATATGCAAATCACTTCACATCAGTTTTAACACGTTACTTTCATTAACTCGTCGTAGAATAATAGTTTCTTCTTTTTTTAATTATCAGACTTGGTCCCATACTTTTGGCCGTTAGTGTAGTGTTGTAGACGGCAGTGACGTGTTACCCAAGGGAATCGATCTTCTGAAGAATCGAGTTAAAATCGAAAATCCCTAATTCGATACCGAGGTGATTATTCCAGAATGTTTGATGTTTCGTTTGGAGGTTAGACTGTGAGATAAAAGTAGAAGAGTAGGGTCACATTTAATATCTTTTTTTGTTTTTTTTTTGTCATTGTATCAGCAATCAGAATTGGATTCTTTAGGCTGATGCAATGACGTAGAACCCAGTTATTAGAGCCCGAGAGAGAGAGAGAGAGCCGCGTTTCTGTTTCCCGCTCAAAAACAATGGTAATGTCTGTCTGGAGTTACAAAGTTTTATTAAAGTTGACGACGACGACGAACTGTTTCTGTCGGGCGGTCAATAAGATCTCGTTGCAGTGTAAATGATAAATTCTCGGTTTAACTGAAACATGGAAGCAAATTATTCGTTGTAATTATTTAGTAGTTAGAATACGTGGTTATCGTAAATAGTGTAAATTAATTATTGTCGGTTCTAAATAAGGATAAATAGTAGTTATAAATTAATTATCCAAGGTGTTATGTTTGTGCAACGTGTACAGTGGTAAAAGCAACGGAGCAACCAAGCATGGGTCTAATTAGTCGCGCAGTGTGTGAACATTTTTCGCGGATTTCTGTCGTTTATGTGCATGTGCGGATTAACTTCATGGATACCTACTCGTAGACAGGACAATACAAGTGAATTCGAATCAAATACCGCCGTAGGAAGTTGTCGACATGCTCTACCGGGTAAGTAGATAGTTATTCTACCTACTTTTCCTACACGTCGTTGAGTCATTGGAGTGACAGTACGCCCCTTACGAACCCTGCCCCGCTGACTATCCGTGCCGTGCGGATTGCCATCATTTGGGTGAATTTGTAAACGTTTATAACTAACAAACGCAACATTTTTCGCAATTTCGTTACTCTCGATTTCCGTCTTATTTTGCCTCCAAGAATCATCACCCCTTAAATTTTTTCCTACTGGTGGTCGAACACCCTGTATACAACAGGTACCTTTTGTTGCGTTCTATGCATCAACCTCTCGCGAGAGGTGCAATTACAAGGCGACGCCGTACATCACAGATTACGGTGGATTTAAGGACATTCAGATGTGAGACTAACTGGTAGTTCATAATCCCGAAACAGCGTCCCGGTTTTCTTTGCTCAGGAGATTGTATGTACACAGAGCTCTATCATGTTTCGGCGATAACGTTGTTGGTTTATGCGCGGAGTCGTCGTAAGATATATTTGCACGTTATTAGATTAGAGTTTGCTGATATATAAATAGCAATATATCAAGCTTAATCGTGTACTCCGGTTGCGCACGAAAACACGCGCGGAATCGTTTGTGTGTCGGAGATCGATGATATACCGTTTTTCCAGCGAGCATAACACACACGTACATACTGGAAAATTGTTAGGAAAATAATTAATCGAAATCGGTTCGTTGGAGTGTTAGAAAACCAATGGAAAAATATGTTTATTCGTGGGGGACGATGTGCTCTTGATATACATAGTATGCGAATGGCGTTCAAAACCGATACGTTGAATTCTCGAGATACTTTTGTTCGGAACAAACGAACGCTTACGGACCCTATGGAAATATCGAATTGAAATATCGTATCACTTTGGTTGAATCATGGACAGGAGTTGTTGACGCTTGCCACAGAGGCGGCGTCACCGCGATAAATACAGAAGCCCCGTTTGTTGTCGAATGTTTAAGCCCGCCACCGTGGATGGATTCGAAAACAGATTCTATTAATTAACCGATCAAACGCTCAAAAACCGCAGCCCGAGTCACGAGTTCCACGCGGCCGTTCTGGCTGCTCTTTGAGTAACGGGAAACGAAGCGCAACCGTTGCGCGCGTATTCTCTTTGTGACAATTACGGAATAATTCCCCCCTCCCTGGTCGGTCGGTCGTGACCGAGGCAGAATACGTAACTTTGTACGGTGCAATTAACGGTTAACTTGCGCGACATTGCGCAATCCCCGGTTTTATTTTTCCCGAACGACGAACGGTTTTGTCGAGACAGACCGAAGAGCGCTCGAATTGCAGCGATGTTTTTTTTCTTCCTATTACGCGAACGGTACGAAGTTCAAGGTTGATCGTATATGTTCATCGCCCGATAACGTCTAGAATCGCTCGGTCTCGCAGTTACATTACGGAGGAAAGTAAAAATGTTCGTGTAGCCGAAACGTAGAAATTGTGTAATTGTACGTAATACTTGAACCACCAGCGTTCGATTATACTGAATTATATTGCATAATATATTAGATGTGTATACTATGTCATAAACATAGAATAATATAATAGAAAATGTAGAATAAACTAAAAGGCTAAATTCTATAAAAAAAATATAAATCGGAAGAAAGAGTAACATTTTTCCGTGGTATGCTTAGTTTTCGAGATAATCGAACTTGAAAAATAGCCAGTAGAATAAGACTTGGGTAACGCGTCTGTCGATTGCAGGCGGTTTCTACTTATTTCCAACACGAATACTTCGCTTGAAATTCAATTTTTTCGAAAGTGAAACTTCGAAACGAAATAGGGTATTCTTTTTTTCTTTTTGACTTATTTTTTTCTTATACATAGAAGCGTCTCCTGCCCGGTTGTACTACCCGGCCTGAGGTTATCTTGTATTATCTGAATCTGTCTTGCTGAGCATAGATATGAGAACAGCCTGAATATCTTAGTATACTTTTAATTTCTTACCATCCGAATACTTCTGATCTCAGTTATAGTAGTAACTTGTAAAATCGCTGACGGGTGCCGGTTAACGGGTCGTACAAGGCAGCTGGTCGTCGCGTGTCCCTAATTAAAATGTTAATTCGAGTGACGGTGCAGGAACGATGATGGAGCCGCGAGTAGATCAGTCACGATAACCGGGGGTGTATCGGGCATTCATGCTTCCGTATGAACCGCGGTTATGAGGTACTACATATAACATATTTACGATTGGCTCAGAGATCGTATATGTTCATCCATCGGAATCGCTAATCAAAGAATCCAGCCTTCGCGGAGGACGGAGGACTACCATGGGAAAAGCTAACTCGCGTTAATATTTCTCCATAAACAAAAAATGGGCCAGGAAGCCGGTTCCGGGAAATTCCATTTGTCCAGATTTATGAAGTTCCGTCCGGTTCCGGCTTTAATATCTATTCGCCGTGGGCGGGGTGGGGTGGAAAAAAAATTTAATCAAGTTCACGGTCTAATCGAGTCTGCGATCAAAAATTAATGCCTTCGGTAACAGAGGTATATTTGTAACGCCCTCGGGAACGTGCGATTCCAGGGATATCGTGTTTTCGTGAACCGAAGTTAGTTTGAAAATGGAAACGTTCCATGACAAATTTGTCGTCATATTGGTAACATTCATAGGGTTCTGCAGTGGTTTGTGTGAAAAATTGCAGTGTAAATATTCATATTATGGTGTACAGGGTAAATTAAGTAAGAAATCTTTTTCTAAACATATGCTGACAGATTGTCACTTTGAGAATTATTGTGGTCATTTTAGGGTTTCGTGACGATAGTCATTAACTAACATTGACGCCTAGACCCTTAATTGATACGAGAAGAATATCGCTATTAAACGGATATAGTTTTTTATATTTTTTTCTGTCTCTATTTCTTTTTCGATGGAATACTTGTATTTCTCAACTGTGAACGTGGTGATCTACTTTACATAAACCAAACTACGGATCCTTGCCGACAAATGGTAGATACTAGCCGGGCGGCGACAGGATTTGATACACTTTTAAAATGAGTGTTGCACCGGTAAAACAGTGGGCGTTAAATGGTTAAAATGAGTAAATATACGTATTTCGGTAGCTTCTTAACCTTTTATTAAGAAATTATTATAGTTATTGGACAAGATATCGCGAATTCGTAAAATTTTGTTTCAGTGTTCGTAAAGATC